TGTGTGTGTGTGTGTGTGTGTGTGTGTGTGGTTGTTTGTCCTGTCTGTCTCTGTGTTGCCCTGCGACAGACTGGCGACCTGTCTAAGGTGTACCCCGCCTCTCGCCCGGAACGTTAGCTAGTGGTAAGTTTGCTTATTAATTTGTTTAACTGTAAACAGTGCAGTAAAGATATAAACAAACTTACGTTGGTTTCAGAAATAATAATTTTATCAATTTTATTGTGACTTTTTTGATTATAACAATTATAACAATCATTCATGTTATAACTGCATGGGGACTTTGTTTGTTGTGACTTAATCTCATAAACTTAACCTGGTTTTAATTAAGCTCTGTATGACAAAGAAACTTTGATATTGTGAGGTTGTTATAATTTTTTTTATCTTCAACATGTTTGCAGTCTAACAAATTAAGATGAAAGAGGAAGCCAGAGAGATCAGGTGTTAGAAAACCTAAAGACTTTCCTGTCTCAGAAGAAGCTGTGACTCCACCACACCTGAATCAAAGGAATGGCTGGTTAGGAGGTCTGTTCAGAGCTGCACCTGGTCTGTTGGAGTAAAGATGCATCTAAAAGTTGCAGGACGGTAGCTCTCGAGGACTGGACATGAGCACCCTTGGTTTATTATTTTTGTTAGCAGCTAAAGCTAGCCAAGCAGGTGTAGCACGGGGTGTCGGGTGGTTAAACGAACATTAAAACTGTCAGAAGAATTTGAAGGCCATTTCAGTTAACATCATTTAGCTGCAGAGTCGTTTCTTGAAGTTTTTGGCTTTAGACAGCATAATATGCGATCAAAGCTAAGCCAAAATGTTTTTGTCTCTATAAATACAATAAATAATGACATATTGGCTGCCCCTTTTTAATTCATTAGTACATGTTGGTGACTGAAGTCTGTTATGATGACTTCAACACATTTCTTCTGACAGGTTGGTAGAAGAAATGCTGTCCAGAATGTTTCTATAAGCTGACTAATTTCTATAATGCCTAATGTCTGAGTTGTGTTCATGATAATAATTTTTGACATTTTTATGCTTTATGTTGTAGGTGGTGAAAAATGCTCTCCAGGGTAAACCGGGTGGACAAAGTATTTTGAATGACTGTGATGGTGACAGACACACAGGTGGGTCTGGTTAGTTTTGCTCACACTTCTCTTTAAAATGTTTATTTATTATCCTAATGTGTCTGCTATTTATCCTGTTGTTCCTCCAGGCTGGGGAAACCAGGTATTCTTCTGTTGGTTCATGTGCTTCGTCCTACATCCAAAGGCCACAAGAAGAATCCAAAACAGCTCATGTCAAACTGTGGACCATGTTTTCAGATATGTGCAGGTATGTGGTTATTCTAATGATCCTACTTCTTTGTAGAAGTACTTTCTCATTGGCTTTGTTTGCTATCTGAATGTAGCTAAATATATTTAATAATTTTTATTATTCGTCTTCTTATCATTATGTCAAAGATGCAAGCCAGTGTTGAAGCCTTCCTCATTGCCGTGCAACCAGGACAGCCCTTCCTCCTGCATGTTGGTGAAAACAAGAGCAGCACCAAAGACACTTCACCATCAGTGATCACAAGACCATCCCTGGCCGCTTCCAATGAACTTTCAAAGCACACTTCACCTTCAGTGCAAAGTACCATGAATGCATGACCTTTGTATATTGCTGTCAGTGCTGTTTGATGTTTT